TGGCTTCTTATCAAAGTGGCTTATATCCCATGAGCAAAAAGTTTATATTAGGCTGAGGGCTCTGCTGGCTGAAAGAAACCTCAGTAACTTAAGAAAATGCATGCATTAATCAAAAATATGATAAAGAAGAATTTAAGCATTTCAAAAGTATATTTACATCCTGATGTTTCAAGTGGGGCATTTGGCAGATGCTCAAGAGGACCACCTAGGAATCCTCTGGTGAAGAGATTTCCAAGTAAGGATGAGCATCAGGCTGTGATCGTGTAAGGATCCAGGCCCAGGGCCTCATGTAGACCAGATGCCACCACCACCTCCATCCCAGGAAGACAGAAGCAGGATTCCTCCAGCAGGGTATCCCCATCATGTCACAGAAGGCTTTCCACAGGAGTAACACATAGCTTATCCTGATGCTCCTTGTGTTGACAGGTGCCAGAACCTTCTTTTGGTCCGACCCTCCCACTTGAATGTGGCATCCCTAGCCTAAGCTCCAGTTCTCCTGTGAGTCCCAGGGGCTGATTCCTGAGAGAAGGATCTCCCATCCTTCCCCTTATTCTGAAAAATGAGGATGAATCTCCCCAGAAATTGCTTTACTGAGGAACTCTCCTGACCCTGCACATCTTCCACAGGCAACAAAAAATGTCTGTACCCTAAGCACTAATATGATACTAAGCAATAAACACTAAGTCATCAAATGTCATGTGGCAGTAGCATAAAAACAGAATGATAGCCTAGTGGGATAAAGAGACAGTGCCCAGAACACACCCACGGCCATTTGGGAACTTAATATACAATAAGTGTCACCATAAACCAATGAGAAAAGGATGGATTGTTTAGGAACTGATGTTGAGAAAGTGGCTCACTCTGTGGCGATCCCTACTTAATAGCATATAAAAGACGGACTCCAGATGACTTAAAGATCTAAACATGAAAGTGAAGACAATATATTTAATAGAACAAAGAGTAGGAGAATATCTTTGTGACTTAGGGCACGGGGAGGACTGCTTCTTACAAATTAACAAAAAAAAAGATGCCAACTCATTAAAAAATGGGCAATGGATCTAAAGAGGTAGCTTTGTAAAAGAAGAAACTCAAGAGGCTAACAAACATGTGAAGAGATGCTCAGACTCATTAGTTATCCAGGGAAATGCAAACCACAACAAGAATGACATTACACTTGCTACCTAATAGACTTGGCAAAATGTAGAAAGCTGGGTAATGCCAAGGGTTGGCAAGAATACAGGAAGATGCATGACTGTGGGAACGAGACAGAGTCATCTGGAGAATAATTGGTCAGGTTTAAGTAAATGCACACCCTCTGCCCCATCAGCTCCATTTCTGGGTATACAACCCAAAGAAGTAACACATAGGTAGGTCCAGAAGCAGACATGGATGATGGCATTCTCTACGATTCAATTCCTAGTGGGGAGGAACAGGGCTTGGGGCAAGGAGTACTTTATAATTCATTGCAATCATGGACTAGAAATATGCTAATATGAATGAGTCTTAAAGAGTGTCAGTGAAAAAAGTAACACAGGAATGAAGTATAGAATACCATTTATAGTAAGTCATATATATATAAACCCAAAATGATAGTACACATTTTAGAACACTTACAGATTAAAAGATACATATAGAACACATTGGAATGGTGGCTCAAGGGCAGAGGTGAGAGACGAGCAGACAGGGATGAGAACAAAATGACATGAAGAACAATGACAGCCCTCACATGGGACAATGACCATGACAGGCCATGAATTATGGAGTCGGACTCACTCAACTTTAACACCTGAGATTTTTCACCAAAAAAAAAAAAAACCAAAACAAACAAAAAAAAATACAAAGTAAAATTCCATTACACTGCTATGCAGTTCTATACAATTCCTATAAGCTTTTAAAACCAGTATCTTCATTTAAACAGGATAATGTCAGCAACTTATGACGTAACTCAGTTAAGTCTACTGTTTTAAGAATCTAATTATACCTCTGTTTCTAAATATAAGGCAAAGTATAGTCAAAGACTGTTAAGCAAAGGAAATAGATTTATCGGTTCACAGGGCTGCAAATTGCTTAGACCTGAAACTGAAAGTCAGATGCATACGAGCTATAGCACAGCTGATGGCACTGGGCTTCATGACACAGCAGTGACATGAGGTCATAAGGTTGGAAAAAGATTTTTAAACATTGCAAAATGCCCAGTATTTTGGAGGCTTGATCTAGAAACAAAGTCTGGGATTCTGACAATGATAGTCATCCATGAAACATGTTGGTAAGTCTTTTTAGCGACAGAATATGAGGAACCTGCGTAGAGTTAAGACTCACAGGTGGATGCTTTGACGCTGCGGATGCTTTGGGTTTCATAGTGTAGGTTAAGCAGCGCTAAACTGGCGCGGAGACTGGGATAGGAGGAAAGTTAGGGACAAAAAGTCCGTGGCCCATACTGAGACCCACACAAATTCTGCTGCCTCGGTTATCTGCAGAAGCCCATGTGACAGAGCTCAGAAAAACACCTTCCTTCACTGAGACATCTACCTTCAGTTCTTTGGTAAATTCCTCCCAACCATCAAAAGAGAAACAACAGAAATGAAACAAAACAAATGAAAATCTCTTCCCCTCTCTTACTCCTTCCTAAAATCCTCCTCTAGTTCATCCAAACCCACTTCCCTGCCTTTGAGGAAATAGCATGACTCCTGACTTCTAGCCTCCATCAGCGTTTTCTATCTCTGCTGCACATGAAATAACTTTTCTGCATTATGGAAATATTGTGCCCAGCCAAGAAAGTTTAAAAGATGTGAAAGTTACCAAAGTGTCTTAATCCAAAATGTCTTCAATTTTCAGAAATCTTAAAGATACTGAAAAGGAGCTATCAAAAGTTCAAAACAGAGATGGGAAGTAATTTAGGCAATTCATTTGAAGTATCCAATTCCCATGAGATAAGTATATTCAATGGATTTGTCTTTCCATTCTTCTTAGGGTTTTACCATTCGCCTTGTCGCCATCCAGGGTACAAAATAGAGAGACACATTGTTTCTGTAATATTCTAGTGTAAAATATTCCCCATTCTTCAAAGCTTTTGGCTCTAGAGAACACTAGGTCACATACAGAGATGTTACAGTCTCTGAAAGAATCAGCAATCTGTGGCTCCATTTGTAAGGAGGAGAAAAGTTTTAAATCTTCACTGATTAGATTTGTTTGCCAGGAAAAAACACTGTCTCTTCAGTGGTCACTCTATAATCTCTTTTTGCCCCAGCTGGCAAGAAGGTCAAAACTAAATTCTAGTGTAACTTAACTCATCTCAGACTCTGGTACATTGAATTTTCTGTGTTTTTTGGGGTGGGGGGAGAAAGGGGATGTGTTTTCATAGCAAAAGTCCCTGCATGGATCCTAGCAGGATTCATCTGAGTGTTCAGGCTTGTCTGGGAGCCTGGGGGCGGGGGGGAGAGTAGAAGGGAAGAGCAATGAAGGGTGTCATTACATGAAGAACTGAGGCGGTGTTGAGAAAGAACTGGAAGACGTGTAAATATTGGTTCAGTGATGATGTGTCAACAAAAAGGAGAAGCTGCCTTCAGCCTGTGTGATCTCTGACCTCCCCGCCCGAACATACCTTTGAGTTCTAGGGCTAGGGACAATTGCTAATCTTCTGATTTTACCATTCATTCATTCCAGTAAATTTTGGTGAGTCATGCATCAAAGAAAAAGAAGGAAAACTGAATTTGCAAAACTATTTATAAAGGAACTCCATTTTTATTACAAGGAAAATCAAATTTTTTGAGAAAACCAATTTATGTATGACATAATTATGTTCCCTTACAAAGTGACTTTTTAAGAATATAAAAGATAATTAAAATAAATCTAGTTCTATCTTATCATGATTTTAGTTTATAACTGGAATATTGCCAAGTTTCTAGAAAGTTACACCACTAAATTATTACCTTTCTTCTGTCTTCTGGTCAAAGAGTAGGCATAAAATTATATTCTCTTAACTGGCCTATGACTTGAAAATCTCATTGAAAATTATAATAAGATATTTAAAATATACACCTTCATCTAATTTTTTTTATGTTGTGGGGATGAATGATTTGCAAAATATGTTTAAAAAAATCTTCCTATCCCCTGGAGCTTATTACTAAGAAAATTGAGACGACCAACTAGGTTGCTGTATTACTATCAAATAAATATACCAGCTAAAAAAGAAAATGGAATATTCACACCAAGTACATTCACTAACATAAATATGTTGTTTGTGGTGAAGAGTTAGGATTACATGTTCATGTTGGACTGGGGTGGAGACAGAATTGGCAGTCATGGGATTGGACTTCTTTTATACTTGGTAGTTTGGACATCCTTCCTAAAGAGTTCATTTACTTTATTAGCAGGGGACTTTTTTGGCTTTGACCATATCTGGGGGCTCTGAGGTAGTTAAAGGATATTTATAGGATCTCAGTAATTAGGACCTGCATGCACATTACTTACAGCAAACCCACTGCTGAGGGGTTAATCTCTTGGCGCTGTCTGGCCCTTAGGCCTGAAAGTCCGTACAGCCACCCATGGGTTGGTACGGGATGTCTTCTGGGCAATGAAAGGGCAGGATGGGGTTTGTATCCATGCTTCCCTGAAACCTTGAGGATAGAGGCTACCCTACAATATGATTTCTAGAAACTGTCTGCAGCAATAAGAACAGCAAGAACATAAGATGTATTTTATGATGAGAGGAAGAGACATTTTTCAAAGACCCAGAACAAAAGGGTGTTTCCAGGTTTTTCAAAGGTTATGAAAGAATAAACCTGAGATGATGATAACAGACACTCTGCTCAAACTGTTTTAGGAAGCCCTCTTTTGGAAATATTATCATTCATATTATTAGCCAAGCAAAACAGATTTCCCTACCTCCAATTTTCAAAAAGAATATCTGATTCTGTTTTAGTGATTTTAGATGCTATTACTTATTATCCTTTAATCAATCAATCAACAAATTATCAGAACATCTAAGTATCCAATCTTACTTTTATCTGGACAATTTTAACCTCATCAAAGCTTATACTGGTAAGAGATTTCTTCGTCTGGCCTCTTCGGTGTCCAAATTTACACTTATTTCTCATCACTTGTTCATCATCTTCTATGGGTCTCCGAACATATTTAAAGCGATCTTTGAGAGCTCGTTTCCATAAAAACTGCATAAGTTAACAGAACAGGACAGTTAATCTTCAAGGAGATTAGAATAATCCCATATAAACACTAAAATCTTCATCACTCTTGGGCTTGAAGTTATTTTCACATCACAGTAATAGGAATAATAGAACTATCCTTCCACTTACCTTCACAAGGGTCTTATGATACTGCTATAAAAAATATAATCCTGAAATCATAACTAAGGAAACAGAGTCAGAAAAATAAAAATAGTTCCCCAATGCCACCTAGTTATTGAGTGAATATAATGGCTCTTTAATCTGGATTTTCTAATTCCCCAAACTGGATGTTTTCTACCATACTTTGCTGTCTCCACAACACATTCCACTTTTCCACTGGGTTCTAGGGAAGAACTGATACTGTCTTATGCATATGTGGATTGACGCATTTTCTTAGAAACAATTTTTCTGTCATCCCTTGAAATTCACTTTGGTGAATACTATTGGCATTCATTCCCCAAATATTTGTAGAGCATCTACTGTTTCAGACGCAAAGACCAGGGTCCTGCCCTGGGAGGGAGCTGGGGCACAGGAAGACCCCATCTAGCAGAAGGAGGAGTAATTTCAGTTCAGAAAGAAAAATGTTATAACAGGGGAAGAGACAGGTTAGGAGACCACAGAAGCCTTCCTGTAGGAGGTACATCTAAGCTGAGGTTTAGGTGTTAGGGTTAGAAAACTACATGAGGGGGGCCAATGGAGACGGCACTGGGAAATGCCAGGTGGGTGGGGGTGGTTAGAAGTTCCAGATGAAGCAGTCTGTGCCACGGAGCATAGGGATAGCCCGTGCCCCTTGGAGAGCTGCCAAGAGCTGTGCATGGCTGGAACACAGAGTTTAAGATGGGCCAGAAGAGAATGGGCCAGAAACTAAGACAGGAGAGAGAAGCCCCAGCCCAATCCTGAAAGGCATGGTTGCCCCATAAGGGAGCTTCTCTGCAATCCAGAACGAGATCTTTTCAAACCCTTGTCTGTGGACAGGCTACATCAGCATCTCACAGGGAACATTCATCCTTGGTCCTTCCTCTAAAGCAGTGGTTCTCAAATTTTAACCTGAATCACAATTCCTGGAGGACCTGTTAAAACACAGGTTGCTGGGCCTGTCTTTCAGATTCTCTGGTTGGGAAGGTCAGGGATAGGGCTGAGAATCTGCATTTCTTACAGGTTCCCAGGTGACCCTGATACTGCTGGCCCAGACCCTCGGGATTCTGATTCGGTTGGTCTGAGCCGAGCCCAGATGTCTGTATTTTTCAAGGCTTTATAGATAATCCAGCCAAAGAGCCAAGCTAGGAAGTCCTCCTAGGCCATGTTGAGAGAGGACAGCGGTTGATCAGATCTGGGCTCTGGAAGAATCTGTCTGCCATGTGGAGCATTTGGGAAATCAAAGACATGGGCGACAGCTGAGGGACACAACTGGGCTTTCTCAACAAACCAACATTGTCTTCCTCTGCTGGGCCTTTGGTTTTGGCCTGGAAAGCTCTATCCCCTCCTCCTTCACTCTGCTGCTATCTAGTTACCTCTTGCTCTGCCTTCAGATCTCAGTCAGCTCATGTCCCCTGGTTAGCAGCTCTCAGCTTTCCTTGTCTGTTATTTACCACACTGGGAGTTTACCTTCATCTGTATGATGTTTTTCTGCTTCTGTGCTTTTCTATTCTGTTCTTTTCATTCTTCCTCTCTTCATTCTCCCCCATTTGCTTACTTGCTTCCTTACTTCACTCCATTCCCTCTTTATTTCCTTTCCTTTCACTAGGCTGTAAGCACAAGACGACAGGCTCATGTCTGCTTTGCCCACCAAGCCCAGCACAGTGCCTGATGCATCTGAGAAACTATAAATACTGAATGCCTTGTATCCGTCCTCTGTGACGTAGAGGGACCCAGGTGTCAAAGCAACAAACTAGAAGCAAGACTCTGAGTCTTGGCCTTGCTTGGTAAGGACCTCACTTCATGAGGAGTAGGCCAACACTTTTTTTTTTAATTTAATTTTATTATGTTAGTCACCATACATTACATCATTAGTTTTTGATGTAGTGATCCACGATTCATTGTTTTCGTATAACACCCAGTGCTCCATGCAGAACGTGCCCTCCTTAATACCCATCACCGGGCTAACCCATCCCCCCACCCTCCTCCCCTCTAGAACCCTCAGTTTGTTTCTCAGAGTCCGTGGTCTCTCATGGTTCATTGTCTCTCCCTCCGATTCCCCCCCTTCATTTTTCCCTTCCTTCTCCTAATGTCCTCCATGCTGTTCCTTGTGTTCCACAAATAAGTGAAACCATATGATCACTGACTTTCTCTGCTTGACTTTTTTCACTTAGCATAATCTCCTCCAGTCCCATCCATGTCAATGCAAATGGTGGGTATTCTCCACACTGTTTTCCAAAGTGGCTGTACCACCTTGCATTCCCACCAACAGTGTAAGAGGGTTCCCCTTTCTCCACAACCTCTCCAACATTTGTTGTTTCTTGCCCTGTCCGTTTTTGCCATTCTAACTGGTGTAAGGTGGTATCTCAATGTGGTTTTGATTTGAATTTCCCTGATGGCTAAGGATGATGAACATTTTTTCATGTGTCTGAAAAAATGTTCATCATCATGTGCCCAACACTTCTTAAAACCTGAGCCTCAAGGCTGCTTCTCAGCCCCTCCACTTCCTTGTCATGCCATGTGCTTGAAGAGGCCCAAGACTTGGGGTGACTTTGGGCACCTCTTCTAAGCTCTATTTCCTCATGGGCAAATGGGAATGCCACTGAGATCACATCAGTACCATGTCTGGCAGTTAGATTCTGCCATTCCTTCTTCCCTGGCTTAAGTCTCTAGAAGAGTTATTCCCTACCCTTCAGAAGAAGGATCTATGTTGGGAGGACCCAGGGTCTAGGCCTAGTGTGTCTTAGCCAAGAAATCAGCAAGTAACTCTTCAGTCTTAGTTTCTTCAGCTATAAAATGGAACAACAAACTCAGTCCTGTCAACTGCCCTGGGGTTTTGGAAGACCGACATGATTGCTACTCACAGAAGTGATTTGTAAATGAGAGTGCTGTTCATAAAACCTTCCACGGCCCCGCAGAGGACTGCTGTGGGCTGAGGTTGGCGGACAACTTCAACTCTGATGATGAGTATGTATGAGTCAGAGACGCTCCCTCACCTCCCACAGCCTTGCGGGTTTGCCCTCAGCCGCTGCTGTTTTACAACAGCACACAAAGAATGGACGGCTTACATTTTTCTTAGCCCTAAAATATGAATGAATGCAAATACATTTTTCCCTCATGTTTCCTACAGCTCTGAAGTCCTTCTAAACCTGCTGATCTGGTGGGAAAGATTACAGCCATCAACTACTAGGACATTTTTTAATTGCTAGTGTCTTTTTCCCAGCCTCTCCCTGCTCTCCTTTTAACTGTCTGATAGGAACATAGAAAAGACAAATCGGAGAGTATTTACTGAGCATCTGGGACATGCCTGGCACCGTGAGTTCCTTACATAGATGCCTCAGTAGAAAATACCCCTGTCACTGAAATATCATCCTCCCTGGGCATGCTTTTCCACCTGGGGGCGGGGGAGGGGCCGGGCAGTGCGGCAGAAGGCAGAAAGAGCTACATGGATAGGGCTCTCCTTCGACCCCTCTGAAATAGAAAATAGCCCTGAAATTACGGACCCTTGATCTGATACGGGAAGCAGTCCATGGCATCACCAGCAGGTCTTTTCTCCACATTTTAAACCCAGATATAATCCTTAGGAAACATTCAGACAAACCCAGAATATGAACCATCTTACATGGCAAATGGACTAGACTTGTCCAAAAAATAAATATCAGGGAAAAAACGGGGGAGGGGCCAGAGAGACTCTCCGAGACAAAAAGAAATTGAAGAGACATAGTCAAATGCAATTTGACTTTATAGCAAAAACATTTTTGGAATAATTGGAGAAATGGGAATATGGGTTATATATGTCTTTATGCAGTTACTGCATATGAAATTATGCAATTATTGCTCATTTTCTTAGGTATAAAAATGGTATTGTGCTTATAGAGGACATCAGCCTTATCCTTACAAGATATCTGCTGAGGTATTTAGGAATGGCATCTGAAACCTATTTTTTGTTTCCAAATGCTCAGCCAAAACAAAGAGATCAATATGAGCCAGGAAAACTAATTGTGACAAAATATTAATACCTAGTGAATCAGTGATTCTTAAGTATCAGGATTTTTCCCTCTTCCCAGAATGCGCGTGGCAATGTTTGGAGACATGGTGGTTGTTCTCATGCTTTGGGTGAGTGGGTAGGGGCTACTCACACCTCGGGAGTGCCAGGAATGCTGCTAACTATCCTACAATGTGGATGCAGCCGCCACCCCAAAGACTCATCCAGCCTAAATTCTAAGTACTGCCAAGATGGAGAAACCTTGATTGAGGTAAAGGATATATGGGTGGTCATTGCAGCATTCTTTCAATTTCTGTGTAGACATGAAAATTTTCAAAATAAGTCGAGAATAAAATTAGCCCTAAAAATGACGAAGAAAGAGCTTGATCGTTCATAAAACCTGCTGATGTGTGTGTGTGCTCTCTCTCTCTCTCTCTCTCACACACACACACACACACACACGTGCATGTGCATATGAATATTCTCTACTATGCACCAGAGTTTTCCCTCCCATTGTATGTGTAAAACATGGGCCATAACATGCTAAGCCATTTTTCAGGTTTCTTTCAGTTAGCCATCTTTCATTAATGCCACTGGGGATAGAAGTGGGTAAAATGCACACAAGATCAAAGTAAGCATTATTCATTACTTTCTATTTGTCTCACTTTCATAACCATGAAACTAAAGGTCAAAATGTAATTGGATAAATATGTATTTGCTTATATGTATGCAAAGGTTCTCGAGAAGGAATCTCTAATAACATTAGTTACTTCTGGGGAGGAAGATTAGGTAGCTGGGGACAGAGGTGGGAGGGAGACTTTTCCATTTATATCTTATTGTAGCTTTAGAATTTTGAACTTTGTGAATATATAATTTATTCAAACAGCAAATTTAAATTCTTTTTTAAAATACAACTATGTACACAGTAACAATGATTAGTTGGCAGATAATACATCTTGAGTGTAGAAGGCATTTTTAGATTCAATTTTGTCAGGCATATCAGTGTGTTTATCAATGTTGGGACTCTAGGTTTGTTTATTTTTGTAGTTTTTAAACGTTTTTTATATAGTGTGGGTTTTTTTTTTTTAGAGAAAATGTGGTTTATTTTACAGTATACTTTTTATATGCAGCAGCATATTTTAGGAATGATGTCAGGCTATAAGCAAAAATACCTAAATTCCATTCTGGGCTTCAGTAGCTACTAGTTCCAGACACAGAATACAATTCCTTTCGTGAGTCTGGGTGGTAAATAAGAATATATATATGGCCCTCTCCCACTCAGAAAATTCTGATTCTACCCACACAGAAAATACAGAAAGAAAATGGAAGGAAGGAAAGAAGGAGGGAAGGCAAGCAACACTCCAGCGATGGTAGCACTGGCACAGGTGCGGTCCCGTCCTCCTTCTGGGTAGTACATCTCCCTAAAGACCCTGCCTGCAGAGTCAACAGGACACACAGGCTTCCAAACTGCTTTGAGGGAGAGACAGAAAGACGATGACAGACAGACAAAGAAGACAAAGGAAGGAGATGGGGAAGGGATGGATAGGTGGGTCGCAGGGGATTTTTAGGTCAGTGGAAAGACTCTGTAAGATACAATAATGATGGATACCTGTCATTATACATTTGTTCAAACCCATAGAATGTACAGCCACAAGCATGAATCCTAATGTAAACTATGGACTTTGGGACTTTGGGTGATAATGATGTGTTGATATAGGTTCACCCATTGTAGCAAATGTCCCACTATGGTGTGGGATATTCATAATGGGGGAGGCTACGCATGTGGGGGCAGGGGGCACATGAGAGATCTCTGTACCTTCCTCTCAATCTTGCGGAGAGAGGAAAAAGGAGGAGGAGTGGAGAGAGAGAGAGACCAAAGCTAAGAAAAAAACAGGAACTGACAGAATGAGATAGAGCTAACGGAACAGAATCAGAGAGACCAGACAGAGACAAGGAGTCCAAGAAGACAGCGAAAGAGAAACAGACATAGATGGATAGAGAGAGACTGAGAGAAGGGGAATGGGGCATAAGATTACTGGACAATACAATGCTATTATTTTAAGATGGGTTGGAATGAATGGTATGGCGCCATGTGGTCACTTACGAAGCCACAGCCGTCCTCGTCCAGGAAAGGGTGGGCTTGCAGCAAGGCGTTGACCACATCATTGTACTGCTGGGTGCTGGGATACCTGGTAAGTGCAACAAGGAGGACATTTTTCACTTCAAGCAGCAGCCCACATTCTTTCCTATAAGTTGAGTCCAAATTATACTCACTGTTCTTCAGATCCTCCTATATAACAATGTAGATATTCAAATATTGGGCAATGTTGGGCGTATCACCAATACGTCATCCAAAATCTGAAGCACATTGGTTCCACATGAGTTCTACTCTACTCTGCAAACAGACCCTCTCCCAAAGCAGCAAGTCCGCCCTGTTATTTACTCACAGTGAGCCTTCCAGATACTTAGTCATGTCGGCCTGGAGAAACTCAATGATCCTTATCCTCATGCTGTGATCGGGACACTTCTGTTCTGCTAACATGCATTTGACATCATAGGGAAACTCTGGTAAAACATAGGACTTAGTCCATTGCAATGCTTTATTCCTTGCTAGAACATGTTTCACATTCCTTCTGTTAAATAAAAACACACAGATAGTGAAATTCTATTTCAAATAGAAGCAACTTGTGAATTCTCTACATCTGAGAACTTACAATATAAACCACTTTCCTGAGGGCTAAATATGGAATTCATCAATCCATCTTGCATCCATTCATCTATCTGCAAATGTTTGAGGGCTGATAAGGTATCTCTGTTTTCTTTCACTTTGCACACACATAAATATTTGTAGTTCTGGAAAACATGTCTTAATAAAATTGACTGTGGAATAAAGCCTAAAGTTGGAAAGAAGATTGATTCATACATCTTGAAGAGGTAATATGTAATGCATAGCTCAAAACTGAACAAGATATCCAACTAAGAGAAAGTTGCAATCAGCCAAGCAAATGAGGCATACAATTAAAGTCTCTGCACCTGATTAAGAAAATTCTTCTAACTGATTTACTCTGTTACTGTTTATAGTGAAATACAAGAGCCACTTAATTTAGTTGGTCTTTGGCCATTTCAATAAGGTAAAGTGAGTTTCTAAATTAAAAGTACATATCAGATACTTACATTCAGATGAAGTTTCTAAAAAAGACTAGAGAAAACTGTAGCCACAGAAAGCAAATCAAGCTGATCAGTGTTTGCCTGGGGCTGGAGATCAGTGCAGGGACTGACTGCAAAGGGGTGCAAGCGAGTTATTCAGGGGGATGGAAGCATCCCAAAATGGACTGTGATGGTGGTTGTGCACCTGTATAAATTGGCTAAAATTAGCTGAGCTGTCTATTTTAAATAGATGAATTTTATGTTATCTAAATGATACCACAATAAAGCTATTTATAGAATTAAATATCAGAACCACTTGTAAACCTTGAAGTTAGTAACCGATCATGAAGTGTGTAAAAAGAAGAATCTCTAGTAAAATTTCCTAAAAAGTTACCAGAGACAATCGACTTGCCTTGGAATGGAAGCAGAGTAGAGCCGAACCAAGTAGAAGACAAAGAACAGAAGGATTTCCTAAATTAGCCTAAGTAGGTCTATTTTCTGGCACACCCATGGAATCCTTCATTGTCCAAACAAAATTCTGATGAGTTTTGAAAGGCCAGGCTTCCTTTGGAATTTGAGGTCATATATTATAAGAGCGCATGTGGCATAATGAAACATAGGGACTAAAGAAAAGAAGAGAAAGCACTCTCCTCTCTTTTCATGATAAGCTCCCTCTTTTGTTCCCCCTTTGGCAGTCCTATATCAGTGGGGAAAATATGTCCTGGCTAGAGGAAGCACACAGATAATACAATGCTTGATCCAATGCAGCAACAGGCAATTCCCAGATGAAATTTGTGCTTCAGCCCAAACTACTTCCCCTATGTTTCTCTCATTTCATTCAATCTTTCAGCCAATAGTTACTGGGGGTCTACCGTATGCCAATTCGTCTTCTACAAACCCGATTTCCTTTCCTATTGCATTAACTTGTTTGTTTCACCAGTGATCTATCCTTTACTCACTCAGACCAAGGGTATAAAGTAAGGCAGGTTTTGTTTGCTGTATTTTGTGCTTTCCCAATGTTTTTAAAAGGTGCTATAACTGTGCAGGTGTTAAATTGGTTTCAGAACATTTTATCTCCTTTTCCCCAGAAGTTTCTAGTGGCTAAATTAGCTGCATGACACCTTTAGGCTTTTGAGATTGTTATCTCTTATTTAGTACTGCATCAATGGGTAACTTCAGTATTTCCATGCCATCAGATAGGGCTTTGTACAGTTTTTACCTTCTTGTTCTATAGATTTTCCTATATGTCACTTCTCCTCAAAATAAGGGTAGGACTCTTATTTTAGGAGCATTATTTTTTGTCAAACTCCCTAAATGTAGCTAGACACATACCAAGCTCTATCAAAGCTAGATATTCCACCTTCCCTTTAACAGCATCATCAGGCAAAATCAGAGGCATCAGATTTTTTTCTTTGCATTAAAGCAATTTAAGAAGGTATTCTGGAAGTGAGGAGAATACAAGTTATGCTAACTAATACAAGTCCAAACAAATATTACACAAGTAAAGGGACTCATCAGAAATTAAAAATACACTCTAATTTGGAAGCAGATAACTGCACGCACAATCATTTACCATCCATAAAATGGTATTGGCTTTGGATCAAAAAAAAAAATCTTTACTGTGAGGTTAAGATTATTCATCTTATCTTTAGTGAGGTACAGTTGAGCAGAACACCAATAGAAGTCACCCTATAGCAAGTGCAGGGAGCAAAAAGCAATCCCAAACTGAGAGGACACTAATATTTCTGTTCCCACCTCAGGGCCAATGCTTTTCAACAAAATACCACAAAACAACAAAATGCTGATCCAATGGCTCTCAGTCTTGGGTATCCAATAAAATCAACTGGAAAGCTTTTAAGACAATATTAATGGCTAGGATTGATCCCAGTCTAACTGAATCAAAGTCTATGGAACTAAATACTCAGTTTATATGTAGAGTTTATATATGTAATATAAAAACTTATAATAAAGTTGATACATCTACTAAATGACATAGTCATTATTGCATATGCACTAATTTAAAATTTTTTCATGAGGTTCTCATGAAAAAGCTCATTGATTCTGAAACGTCTAACATTTTTTAGTTTTCTTATATTTATTTTTTTAATTTTTAAAAAGTTTTTAATTTAAATTCAATTTAATTAACATATACTGCATTATTAGTTCAGAGGTAGAATTTAGGGATTCATCAATTGTGTACAACACCCATTGCTCACTACTCCAATTAGAGTGAAAAATCATTGAATTTTGCAGACAGTAGGGAGCTCACCTTGGGTAAGGAAGATGGCTCTATTAAGAACAGGTCAGGTTTTACACAACTCACAGGAATTGTGTAAGACTGTTGAATCACAGACCTGTACCTCTGAAACAAATAATACATTATATGTTAAAAAAAAGAAGAAGATAGTAGGAAGGGAAAAATAAAGGGGGGGAATCAGAAGGGGAGATGAACCATGAGAGACTACAGACTCTGAGAAACAAACTGAGGGTTCTAGAGGGGAGGGGGTCGGGGGATGGGTTAGCCTGGTGATGGGTATTAAAGAGGGCACGTACTGAATGGAGCACTGGGTGTTTTACGCAAACAATGAATCATGCAACACTACATCAAAAACTAATGATGTAATGTATGGTGATTAACATAACATAATAAAATAAAAAAAGATATAACATAAAAAAAAAGAACAGGTCAGGTTGAGCTCTAGCTCTCTAAGGAAAGATTTCAATGCACACAAGACAGAGGTTGAGCCTTGGCAGTGAACAGAAGACACATATGTGTTACACAGGAGCAGGGACCATTTCTTTTATCTCCAGCATAGATAATTTTGCTTTAGTAGAGTTCGTGCACAATGACTGATGAAAGGATGAACGTGGTCAGCTGAAAGGAGCGGTTATCTGCGAATGGCTGAATTCAATTTGTTCTCAACATTCAGTGGCTCCTCACTGCATTTGCTAGCCGGTTATCCAACTCACCATCTAGGCTCCAAATATGTCCTTCATGTCACTCCCGTCTTGCCTTTCCTTAATCTCTTGCACATTAATATCTTCCCAATGACTTCGTAAGACTGCCTCCTCAAAAGTCAATAACAGTTTCCTAATTTACAAATCCAGGGCCTTTTAACACTGGCCTTTTTCAAGACCTTTCTGACCACACATAGCACAATTGACCACTTTTGCACAGCCCCCTTTTCTTTCTCATTTTCCTACACACTATTTTACTTGCCTCCTTTCTTTCTATCCCAGAACTCATTTGTTTTATTTGCACACTTATTCATCCTTTATCTTCTACGAGAGTTTGCACATGGCTTGGTCTTTGCCCTCTTAATCCTCAGTTTTGATCTACGCTTTCTTCCTCATACAGCTCATTCATCCCCCAGGGCCTCAACTCTACATGTGGAAGCTACATGTGGAAGGTTTATAAATCATCAGTAATCTTCTCTTTGCTATGCCTCAGCCTCCACCTCCAGCAATTTGTATATTATTCATTTCATACTCAACACATCTAAAATAATGTATAATCTTTTGAAGCCCCAATCCCCAATGAGGCTATAGTAGGAGATAGGACCTTCATAAAAATAATTAAGGTAAAGTGAGCCCCCTGATATATAGAATTTGTGTCCTTATAAGAAGAGGCCTCAGAGAGCACACTCTCTTTCTCCATCATATTGGCCATTTGCAAGCCAGGAAGAAAGCTCTCAACAGAAACCAAATTGGCTGGCACTTTGATCTTGGACTTTCCAGCCTCCAGAATGTAAGAAATAAACTTGTTGTTTAAACACCCAATCTATTTTATTATGGCAGCTGAGCTGACTGACACACCATTCCAATTTCCATGTGTCTTTCATTGTATCTCTTTCATTGTATCTCTTTAGCAACTCAGACTTAATACTTAAATGTCTTAATTCTTCAGATCTGGGTGTCATGAAAATTCTTCTATATCTTATCTCTTATATTTGCCTGCTTCTCTCCATTGTTCAGTTACTACATTTATCCAAGCATTCATCACTCAAATGTGGACCACTTTGCTAGTTGACTAGCAGAGTTCTGCTTTTGGAATGGCTTAATTTGCTCACACTGGACAAACTATCCTATGAATGATAACTATTAGCACTGGACAAAATACAAAAATAAACAAATAAGCCAACAAAAATTATCGGAAAACACCAGAAAGTAGAAAAAAAGCAGGCAGATTCTGAAAAGAATCTACACTTGCAAGAAAAGGAAGACGGAAGGAGTTTCCTTTTTATGACTTGTGGTCTGAAGGCAGGTCTCAGGCAGTGCTGCTCAAAACTCTACTAAAAACCTGCAGTCTTTCTGGACTACTGAATTAGTGGACAGAGTTTGGCAACCTTCTCTCCAGAAAGAGGAAGAGAATCCTCAAAAGGAGATAGCTAATAAGAGGGAACTATGAATTCTGTGTATAAACTGTCCAAATCTTTGGCTGATCTAGAACTATGCATGTTCATAGCCCAACTAAGAACAAGAAAAC